CGAATTTTCCTGTCGGCATATTGACGATTGATTTGCCTTTTTCAAAAATTAAAACCCAAATGTCATATAATTTTACTAGTTTTTTACATTCTCATATAAATCAAAAGAATTTAAAATCAAACGCTGATATATACGAGGTATGATCCAAACGTAATGTCACAACTTTGATTAAATTGCGATAAATGTACGTAAAACAACAAAATTATGCATGGTAAAAGCTTTATTTATTTTAAATCAGACCTGAAAAATTCAAAGGAATATGATGTATACTTTCCAAAATATTGGAACTTAAATAATGTGCGTTTATGGCACTCGCTGCACCTACTTATAACGTTATATGACGGAAAGGCGCCGTCATACTTTAAAGCGTTTCCCCTTCGTTTCATTGAAAAATATTTGTGATTCGCAAACACTTTCACCAACTTCACTTTCTTTAAGAATTCTCAGTACCATTATACACTCAATCTTTTCATAATTTTGAGCTCTGTCAATTTTTTTAACAGTAGCATAAGGCAAATGTCAAACTATCCGTCTGTTTTTTTTGACAACGTCAGACATCATTGAACGTTTACGTCCGATACCCTATCTTTCGGTTTTCTTATCCTCTGCTGATCATTCAATGACCTATCATCCGCCCAAAATTACTTAAATCTTACTGTCAAATCTAAGACCTTAAAAGTCCTATAAACAAGTCTCATATTTACACTCTTTATTCTGTGAGTCTTATTAATTAACGTAACTGTCGCTAGTGGTGATTCCCATATTTTGAAGCAAAAATGCATTACTACTCATCAAGCCGTTATTTTCTCCATATCGACACTCCCTTTGTTCAATTCAAGAGAGTAAAACAACAATGTTTATGATCAAATACCAATGTCGTCATTTAATTTTTAATTAAAGACAAGAAAATGACTTGAATAGTACTTTTTTAGTCTTTTAAATGTGTTTGTATATTTCATTCTATGAAAAAAACTCACTTCAAAATGTAACGTTCAGCTGTGACGCGGCGACACCCCATATGCTTTATGTTTTAAAAATCTATAGAATAAATTTGAATAAATACTATTAAATGAAAATTTCAATGTTTATAAGATTTGTATTTGTGCATCTTTTGGTAAATTGTATTTGATAATATGTGGCCAAATATAAAAGATATGGTCACTGTGACATTTCTTTTGGATCAACCCTTGTAGTTATTAAGCTACACATGTTTTATAAGTTGTTGAACAGAAAAATAAAGGACATAAAACACTCTTAAGAAGACGTGTCAATCACTAGGATTCTCCTCTTTGAGATGAGTAATTATAACAGATTACAAGCAGCCTTTAACACACTTTATCATCATAAGTGTTTTCCATCTCCCCTTAACCTTTATAAGTTATGAGAAAAAAGGATACACTTCAAAACATCTTACATCACTATGAGTGAAGCTTTGTCATGATTGAATTCTACTATATGGAAAAACCGTGGAATATCAAGGACTAGGCATAATAATAGATATAAAAAACGTTGTAAAATACAATAAACATAAATGCATAAATGCATATCATAAGATTTGTTATTAAAGTTCATTACTTCAACATCCCGATATTTCTGTCAATAAAAAGTTAAATTTTAAAAATTGTAATCCATGAATCGATCTTACTTAAGAAATCACTGTCGAAGCCCATTATGCAAAAATTATCCCATGTTTCCCACTATTGTTGATGTCCCTGGCATACTCTCAAAACTAGACAGTGATTCTTTATATTTCCATTTTTACTTGGAATAACCATCTTAAAATAATACGATATACCGTCTAATTGAGTAGATTTGAAATGCACAAGGCCCTATGACGTCAACTTTTACTTTAAAAAAATAGTCCAAAAAACACGAAACAAATTTATTGATTATTTATAGTTACCGAAGTCAAATATCAACATTTATAAAATAAACAACAAAACAATTTTAATTAATGATCAAAGTAATCTTGTTGAATTTATAATTAATTATACATGTGACCTAGATTTAGATTCTCGGAAGCACGAACATCACTTCTCCGCCGCCATATTGAGTGCAATGTTGCAGTTAATGAAACGGGAGCTGGTCAGCATGGTCATGAAACCGATTTGTATGGATGTTAGAATAACAGAAGAGGTTGAGTTGCTTATGAAGTCGGATGGTAATGACTGAGGGACAATGTCTGTATAAGAAGATGGAGCACGTACAGATCCATGTGACAATGTCAATTTCTCCACGTGGTTGTTACGGAAGTGGAGTTCTCGGACTCGCGAGGCCTCGGTGATAGTGGACAACTTTGACTAGTGACTTGCTTTTGAGCCAAAGATAATTCATTATTTATTTTGTTTGTTTTAAAGATATATCATATCAAACTACTTAGTAAACAATAAAACAAAACATATATTTTTTCATGAGTATATTTATACGCCAGTGATATACATGCAGGTTGACACCTGACCTTTGAGTAATAGAGAAATATACATACCAAAGGGTATTACAATGAAATTAACAAGATTCACTTTTGTAGTGTTTATCATAGACAAAACAGTTGGAAATGGAAACATTTTCATTTCACAACTTTAATTCTAATCCCATGTAAATGATTTTTTTCGTAGAAAATTAAATTTCCTAATCTAATTCTCAATTAGAAATGATATATTTTTTATAGATATTTTTTTTTATTTCTTTAATGGGTTTTTTTCATTATTTGTACTTTCAGAAATATTTGACGAGTTTATTTTTTTTATTTAAAACCTGAAATGCCACTTAATATTTAAGAGTATTTTTGCAAACTCTTTCATAAATTAGAGAATCAAAAATCAAACCCTGAGATGTCACCAATTTTAAAAATAAAACACAACACATAGAGATTGCTTACTACAATATTGTCACACATTGTCTTAAAGGATAGAAAAAAATGAAAATTAAGAGAAAAAAGATGAAATGATCTTGACCTTTGACTTTGAGAAAAATGTTCAAGGTCAAATGTCAAGGGTCACAATGCAATTGACTCCATGCTTCTACGACTTATAGTTTTTAAGTTATAAGGTTTTATAGTAAGTACAAATACGTTAAAGGGCAATAACTCAGATAAGGGGTCATCACCTTTGGCACTTATATAGTGAAGTTATGCCTCAAGATTCTAAAGACATTAGTGAAAGTTTGATGTTTATACAGTCTAAAGTTTCCGAGAAGTAGCGATTACAAGGTTTTTTGCACAAGGGGCAATAACTTTTATGAGGGTTAATGTAGGGAGCAAAAATTAAATATTTTAAATAGTTTTTACAGTACATATTATTGATGCAAAGACATTAAGTATATTTTTAAAGACAAAAGAGATATAAAGAGAGCTTAGTTTCTCAAATTTTGAATGACCTTAATTTTTTACCCTTTGCATTAGTTTCATAATCATTGTAAATATATACGCCCTTTAAAAGCAATATTTCCTTGAGAGTAGGAGGACGTCAAATATTTTTAAGATGATTTATAATTCAGCATATTTTTAAAAAGATTTTTGCTCCTAACTGTAACAATATATGCTCAGTTTCTTTGCCATTACGATCAAGAACGTTTATGAGTTTATAGTTTTTTATGAAGAAATAAATTAAATGAGAATATTTGTTGTATCCCCCTCCCCATTTTTTGTACGAATTTGATTTTTTTTTTCTTAACCCTCTTATTGTATCGTTAACGATATTCCGGAACTTTTAGAGTCGGACATTATTTTTCATTGTTTACAGTCAACGGAAGTTTGTTTTGTTTACCTCGTGGATAGACAATCCTGTGTTTGTGACATTATAGCTCAGTAATATTAATTTTGGATCCATCAATGTGTGAGTAGACAATGTTTTTGTGACTTACGCGAAGTACGGACCAATTATTATATATAGAATTGTAACTATTGTGTTGTAAAACTATACAGTGGCATTCAGTATAACCCACGCTGCTCTGAAAAAATCTACGGAACGACGTTATCATCATAATGTGATTATATTTTGTTTTATTATAATTTCAGGTTGAAACATTGGAAAACATGGGAGAGGAAATTAGAAAGATGTTACGGAAAAAGCTAAGTACTGCAAAGGGAAGGTTCCACAGAATATATGGCCGCCTTTTGGAGAAAATTCAGGATGAAGAGGAATCAGATATTGTCAAACAGATGCTAAGTGATTTGGAACAGTCATATAAAGATATGGAAGTACGACATAGTGAGTACCTAGAGAACTTTGATTCAGATGATGAAAATGATAAACCAAAGATGGACGAAGCAAACCATGACATGAACACATTATACAAAGAGTTGTGTAAGGCTAGGTCCCTTTGTCTCAAATTAAATACCAAGAAAATCACATTGCAAGAGAAATGCGTGAAAGAACAATCTCTGAAAGTGAAAAAATTAGATCCGCCACACTTCAGCGGCAAGATTCGAGAATACCCGATTTTTAAGTCAGACTATTTTACTCACATGATTCCAACATATGGAAAGGATCCCTTTGCTTTATAGAATTCCTTATCTGGAGAGCCTTTTGAAATTATAAAAGGAGTAGATAATTGTAATGTTGCTAATAAGAACAACACATGATTTCGCTTTGGATGCAAATCTATTACTCATTCATACATAGATAAACAAAGATACAAAATAGCAGAGTTAATATGATATCCTGGGAAAGTATAAACAATTGACCAGTGAGGCGATGGAGTTAAAGATTAAAGCAATTAATGTCTAAAGCATTCAGAGTTCAGCATTAGCAAATATAAACGAACTGTTCGGTTCTGTTTATCATAAACGTTTGCACTTAAACATTCCTTTTGTTTGAAATAGAATTAAATCCCAAGGAATTAAATATGAATCAAAATAAAGATAAAGATACACAGACACAACACTTATTGTCTAAGTCTAAGTAGATATAAACAGTTACGGCTAGTATTTCCATTAATACACTGTTCTGATCATTAATTCACTAAGTTCACGATACACACGCATAAAGATATATTATAGTCTACATTTCTTCAATAAGTGTCTTAGGTGCGCGGATTTCTCTCTTAGGACGGCTCGGTAACTCACACGTGGAGTTATCTGTCTTCACGGGTATTTCGTCAACTTCGAGTTCCTGGTCCTGATCTGCCTTATCGTCTAACTTTTTGAAGTGCGACGCGTTTCTTGTAATTGTCTTCTCATCATTCCCGGCGGTGACCATGGTACCTTTAGTTTTTAAAATTTCAAGTGGTTTTGGTTCATACGGGGTTGACAGTTTATTTGATTTTGGTTGTTTTACCAAAACGTTGTCTCCTACTTCTAAATCTATTTCCTTTGCACTAGAATAGTGATCAGCATGTTGTTTCATTTTTGATTTAGCTTTAATGTCATTTTCTTTCATTTCCGTGTGGATTTCGTATTTCCCTCCTTTGTTTTCGTTAAGAACGTCAACATCCATCTTGGTCCTGATTTTCCGGCCGAATAAAGCTTCAAATGGCGATACTTTTGTGGTACAATGTGGCGTAGCCCTGTAGTTCCTTAGAAACGTAAAAATTTCTTGTTTCCAACTTTTATTTTCCACATTAGCTGCTTTGATTGTTTTCTCAATTGTTCTCATGAATCTTTCGGATTCTGCATTTGCTTTAGGCCATAAAGGGGTAATCTTTCTGTGAGATAATCCTAAGTATTCCGAATACTGGCGAAATTCTGTTCCATTAAACGGAGGTCCGTTGTCAGTTTTCAGAACTTTTGGTATTCCAAATTCCGCAAATATTTTGTCTAACTTAGGAATAACAGCTTTTGCTGACGTAGACTTAAGAAAATCCACAATCGGATATCTGGAGTACTCATCCATAACAACCATGAGATAATCTCCCGAGGGAAATGGTCCACAAAAATCCATTGACAATTCCGTCCAGGGTCCACTTGGTAAAGGTGACATCTTCAAAGGCTCGAGATGTTTTGTTTCTGTCGTAACTTGGCAAGGTAAACAGTTCTTTAGTGTCGTCTCAACTTGTTTATCAATGCCCGGAAACCAAACTTTTTCCCTTAGCACGACTTCGTTTTTACGATACCTTGATGTCCTTCGTGTGCTAAACTTATAACGTGTTTTCTGAGTGAGTGTGGAACAAACAGTTTGTCCTTTCGGAGAACTATCCCGGTATCGGAAAGAGTCAATTCATCCTTCAGTTTATATACAGATTGCCAGTCTGGTCTTGTTGATTTCTTGAAAACAACCCATGATCCGTTCCTCACGGCATCTCGAATATCTCGTATCAGTACATCGTTGTCAGAAGCTTTCTGAATTTCATCCAGAGTCATTGATTTCGGGATGTTTGTCTGGACTACAAAATTGATGCAATTTTCAACAGAGAATGATTTATCATTTTCTTGACGAATTGGGTGACGTGAGATATAGTCACTTGGGTTGAACTTTCCAGGTTTGTACTTTATGTGGAAATCATACGGCTGTAGTCTCAATGCCCATCTCTCAATTCTGGCAGGTGGTTTTGATACAGGGTTTCCAAATATCAATTCCAGTGGCTTATGATCTGTCACAAGGTCAAATGTGTTTCCAAGAAGATAAAGGTGAAAATGTTCGCAACTCCAGACAATTGCAAGGCCTTCACGTTCCGTCTGAGAGTATCGTTGTTCCACTGGAGAAAGCGTTTTACTTCCATAGGAAATAACTTTCTGGTCGCCATTTCCATCAATTTGAGTAAGGATAGCTCCTAGTCCGACGGGACTTGCGTCGACAATGACTTCTGTGCGCCTTGAAGGGTCAAAATAGGACATAACTGCACTACTAGTCAATGCGTCCTTGATATTCTGTATTGCCTGTTCATGTTTCTTTTCCCATTTCCATCGTTGATTCTTTTTGGTCAGCTCACGTAGAGGTTGTGATATTGTGGCGAAGTCCTTGATGAATCGTGCACAATAATTAGCCATGCCAAGGAAACTGCGCATTTCAGATGCATTTTTGGGATTTTCTGCATGTTTGATTGCCTCAACTTTCTTGGGGTCAGCTGATATTCCATTTCCAGAGAAAATAAATCCAAAGAATTCAAGCTTTCCTTTGATAAACTCACACTTATCTTTGTTGAGCGTAAGATTTCGTTCCCGCAGTCGAGTTAATAGCAACTGTAACGAACTGTCGTGTTCCTCCTGGGACTTGCCATACACAATAATATCATCACTTATATTGCGTGTTCCAGGTATTCCTTCAATGGTTTGTTGGATGACTGCCTGGAAAACTTCAGCTGCCGAATTTACTCCAAAAATCAACCTTTTGTAGCGAAACAGTCCAACATGTGATGAAAATGTTGTGATATATCTCAATTCAGGTGCTAACTCAAGTTGGTGATAGCCTTTGTTTAGGTCCAGTTTAGAGAATATTTTAGCTCCATTCAAATCAGTGACAAGTTCATCAATTGTAGGCATGACATGGCGTTCTCTCAATATGGCTTTGTTAGCTCTTCTCATGTCAATACAAACTCTTACTTGGTCAGGATTTTTTTGGTTTTGGAGCTACCAGAATTGGTGACACCCACGGAGTCGGTCCATCAACTTTTTCTATGATGTCCATTTCTTCCAGTGTCTTAAGCTCTTGTTCTAATTTCTTTCGTCGGTGAAACGGAATTCTGCGATGTGGTTGCGCAACGGGCTTCACTGTTTCGTCAATGTGAAGTTTCACTTGAAAGTCTTTCAGCTTTCCTATCCCCTCAAATCGATCAGCAAATTTTGTTAGTATACTGGGTTGGTCAGTACATTCAATTTGGTCAACAGCATTTATCGTAATCGAAATGAGTCCAAGCTTTTGTGCGTCAGCGCAGCTAAGTAAACATCCACTTGCACTTTTCACCACAAGAATTTCAGTGTCGATAATCCTGAGTTTAGATTCTATTTCAGCTCGAAATTTACCTCTTATTGGTAACGCCGCTCTCGTTCCGTAAGCATGAACTTTGGCATTTGATTTTGACAATTTAATTGGTTTCTTGCGACTTACTCTTTCAAACGTCGACTCATCCATGACAGTAACACTTGCTCCGGAATCCACCAGCATGTCAACTTTAATCCCATTTATCTTGACATTTGCTATAGGCAAAGATTTTGTTGCATTAAGTTGTAATCCAAAAGCATATTCTTCATCACTACTGTCATTATCCAAATTGTTTATACCAGGTTTCTTTGATTTGGGTGTGCGGTTGAAATTTCTTGTATCCTGTTTCTGGCCAGACCTACACTGCTTTGCAAAATATCCGATTTTCTTGCATTTGTTACAAGCTTTGTCTTTTGCTGGGCACGGTCTATCTTTATGTGGCCATTCCTTTCCACAATTGCGACACTTACTTGTTGGTTCTTTTTGTTTCCTTTGTTTAGACGAATTCTCTCTCCTGTTTGCAGCATTTAGATGTACATCTTGACTCTTATGGTCTTCCATACCGGAGGCTTGGAGTTGTGAGACTTCCATAGCTCTCGCTGAATCTAAGATTTGTTGGAGCGTTAGGTCAGGTTCACGTAAGGCTTTGCGTCTCAGACGACTTGACTCACATCCTTGAATAACTTGTGATTTTATTTCCCTATCTACATCTTCGAACTCACAGTTTTCCGCCAACTGTCGTAGTCTTGTGTGATAGGAATCCATTATTTCACCTGATTGTTGTTTAGCTTGCCTGAATTTGTATATTTCGAATTCAAGGTTCTTCTTTGGGTTGAAGTGCTTCGTCAGTTTTGTTTTTGCTGCATCATAGTCATTTGGCCCTCCTGTGTCCGCAAGAGTATCGAAAATATTGTAAACTTCATCTCCTCCATAGTGTAAGAGCATTGCCCTTTTGCGATCATTCCTGGTAATTCCCATAGCAAGGACGAAATTTTCAAAACGTTGGATCCATTTTTTCCAACGCTGTCCTATTGAACTTTGATCTGAGACATCAAACTTCGGAAATGGAGTAAATCCAGTAGCCATTATTGATATTTCTCAGTCAAAATTAATAACCGCTCAAACACTATCTAAAACTTTATATCCTCGTCGCCAATGTAATGTTGCTAATAACAACAACACATGATTTCGCTTTGGATGCAAATCTATTACTCATTCATACATAGATAAACAAAGATACAAAATAGCAGAGTTAATATGATATCCTGGGAAAGTATAAACAATTGACCAGTGAGGCGATGGAGTTAAAGATTAAAGCAATTAATGTCTAAAGCATTCAGAGTTCAGCATTAGCAAATATAAACAAACTGTTCGGTTCTGTTTATCATAAACGTTTGCACTTAAACATTACAATAATGACTTTGAGGAAATGTTTAAATGTCTTGATCTGAAGTATGGAAGATCGGAAAAATTGGCGGACACCGTTCTGGCTGACATAAGGGCATTGAAGGCAGTTACTGAGGGAGACAGCACAAAGTTTACAGAAATGGTGGAGATAGTGGAGGGATGTTGGTTGATTCTGAAGCGGATGGGTTTGGAAAAAGAAATGGACAATGCCACCATGATCAGTGAGATTGAGAAATTATTACCCTCTATCCAGAAGAGAGAATGGGCTCTGCTGAAACTTAGACTGAAGTCTACAAGGTTTTCTGATTTGCTGAGATTCCCTTTGGATGAAAGAGCTGCAGTTGAATATATGGCCTCTGATATTCGAGAAAGTGATAATGGCAGTGTTTCTCGTAAAGGAAAAATCCATACTATTACCAGCTCACACGAGAAAAATGAGAAAATTGACGATTCTTTTGTCAATGTTATACAGAGTCAAATGCAGCAAAATGAACAGAAAATGCAACGGGTGATTGAAGGATTAGCACAAGCGACAGATGCACTTCTTAATGGAAAACAGAGGGGAGTAATACACGATGCTTCCAGAAATGATGTCTCTTTCAGAAAAAAATGTTGGTATCATGAGACTGACAATCATTCTATTGGGGACTGTGCCGGTTTTTCTGCTCTTGATGGAGAAACAAAGATGGAGTTGCTGAAACGAAACGGTGCTTGTTTTAGTTGCCTGAAAAGTGGACATCTGTCAAAAAGATGTAATAACAGAAAGCCATGTGAAATCACAGATTTTCGTCAACAAAAATGTGGCAGATTTCATCATCCATTCTTACATAGGGCGATAGTGAAAGCTAGCGCACATCATCACAGTGTAAACATTGTTAACGAAGAGCAGGGAAAGAAGGGAGTCATTCTCATGATCAGCAAAGTAGAAAGTGGAAATATCCCATTGACCACCCTATGGGATCCAGGTGCTAATATTTCTCTTTTAACGTTTGAATCAGCTAGGAAGCTTGGACTCAAGGGGCGTGAAGTGACATTGTCAGTGACGAAGGTGGGAAACACATATGAGTGTATTCAAAGCAAAGAATACTTGCTGCCACTGACAGACATGTATGGCAAGGTCTGGCAAGTTAAAGTATATGGAATGAACAAAATTACAGCAGATATTTCAAAGGTGGATGTTCATGGAGTTGTGAAATTCTTTAAAGGGATTAAAGAGGGAGATATAGTGAGACCAGAAGGAAAAGTGGACCTGCTTATAGGAGCTGATTGCTGTATCTTATTGCCTGAGAAAATTGATCAACTTGGAAATCTTCAATTGATGCGAAATCAATTTGGATACTGCATTAGAGGAAGTCACGCCAAGTTACGAGTACCTGTTACAACGGAGTCAAATCTTGTGTGCATTCATCATACTTCTGGAAGGATAATCGAACCAATACGGTTAAACCATGCAAGCCTTAAGAATGCTGTTGACAATTTTTTCGACATAGAAAGCCTGGGAACGCATTGTGTACCGAAGTGTGGAAGTTGCAGGTGTGGGAAGTGTCCACCTGGAAATGGAAGCTACACGTTAAAGGAAGAACGAGAGTTACGTCTTATAAAGGAGGGACTTCAATATGATGAAGCGGGCAAGAACTGGACTACTACGTACCCATGGATTAAGGATCCAAAGTCTCTCCCCAACAATATCAATGCAGCGATATGTCGGTTGAAATGCACGGAAAGGCGCTTAGAAAAGGCGGGACAAGAGTACAGTGAAGCATATGGTGACCAGATTGCGGATATGGTGCAGAGGAGTGTTGCAAGAAAATTAACTGACGGAGAGATGCAAACTTATGAAGGACCTATCCACTACATTCCACACCATGAAGTCTTAAAACCAAATTCCAAGACTACACCAGTGTGGATCGTATTTGATTCATCGTCCTCGTATATGGGTCATGTTTTGAATGAATAATGGGCAAAGGGGCCAAATGTTCTGAACGACCTTTAGGAGTTATTATCAGATTTAGGCAAAGAAAAATTGCAATTGCTGGAGATATCACGAAGATGTACAATGCAATCAAACTGTCGGAAAGGGATCAGCACACACACAGATTTGTATGGAGGGACTTGCAGATGGACAGACCACCTGATCATTATGTCTTAATGTCAGTCACATTTGGAGATAGACCCAGCGGAGCAATCTCCACCATGGCCTTGCGAGTGACAGCAGAAATGAATCAGGAAGAATAACCAAATGCAGCTGAATTTGTTATTAAAGACAGTTATGTGGATGACTTACTCACTTCAGTGAATACTATTTGTGAAGCCAAGGAAATAATTCTGAACACTGAAAGACTTTTAAGCCTTGGAGGATTTCGTGTAAAACATTGGATTGTTTCTGGTGATCAAGATGACTACTTTGCAGGATTGAATGTGTTATGTGCCGAGCAGGAAAACATTCTTGGAATGATTTGGTTACCCAAAGATGATGTCTGGATGTTCAAGGCAAAACTGAACTTTTCGCCAAAAAGACGTGGAAAGCATACAGAGGATGATATCGAGGATGGACAATTACATAATTACATCTTATTCCAGACAGTCCAACTCGCAGGATGGTTCTAAGTCAGGTTGCAGGCATATATGATCCTCTTGGACTGGTTGCTCCATATGTATTGTCTGCAAAAATTCTTATGAGGACCATGTGTTCCAAAGAAAATGAAATTGGATGGGATGAGCCTATGAGTGAAGATATGAGGGCCAAGTGGGTTCAGTTCTTTACAGGACTTTATGATTTGCAGAATTTAACATTCAAAAGATGCCTTATGCCGGAAAACACTGAAGGTGATCCAATGCTTGTCATATTTTCGGATGGAAGTCAGCAAGCCTACGGTGCATGTGCCTATATCAGATGGCATACCAAAGATGACAAATACACATCGAGCCTAGTGATAGCAAAGAATCGAATTGCACCTGCAAAGCAGTTGTCTACCCCTCGTCTTGAACTCTGTGGAGCAGTGCTTGCGTCTAGGCTGCGTCAAAAACTAGTAACAGAAATGAATTTCAAATTCAGTAAGATTGTGCATATTGTCGACTCCATGAATGTTAGAGCACAAATACAGCGAGAGAGTTATGGCTTTGGGACATTTGTGGCAACACGTGTTGCTGAAATACAAAGCACATCTGATCCCACTGAGTGGTGGTGGGTTCAAGGGGATCAGAACCCTGCCGATATGACTACAAGGGTTGCAGTAGCAAGTGCTTTAGGGACTGATTCTAAGTGGCAAAACGGGCCAGATTTTCTGAGAACTCCATTTGAATTTTGTCCAATAAGTCAAGAAAATACAATAGACAGCGATCAGATACCTGATATTATTGGGGTGACGATGTCAATCACTTCTGAGAATCGTTCTTCCCATGGATGTGCTGTTATAGACATAGAGCGGTTTGCCAGTCTGAAGAAGCTTCTTCGAGTTACCAGCATGGTTCTAGCCATTGTGAAATGGAAAACATTTAGAGGTATTTGTAGCAAGATCTCTTCAGGGACATCTGTTGAAGCAGAAAGAAGCTGGGTTAAGCGTGCACAGGAAAACTTACCAGAAGATTACATGAAGAAGTTTCAAAGACTTTGGCCATTCATCGATCAAGATGGGATTACTTGCGTTGGACAGCGCATGGCTGAATGGATCAAACAATCATGGAACCAGAGAGAATTCTTTTTGCTGCCAAGAAAGGGTCGGTTTACGGAGTAAGTTGTGCGCAGTGTTCATGGTGAAGATCATGCAGGATTGGAGGTGACGTTAGCAAAAATCAGAAGCAGATATTGGATTCCCGGAGTTCGAAAAATCATAAGACGAGTCAAGGATAACTGTGTTGTGTGCAGAAAGCGGGATAAAGTAACAATACAACAACAGATGGGTGTTTTACCTTCATTTCGACTGAATCCAGCACCTCCATTTTACAATTGTGCCGTTGATATGTTTGGACCATATACCATACGTGATACAGTCAAAAGACGAACACATGGAAAGGCATATGGGGTATTGTTTAACTGCCTCAATTGCAGGGGTGTGTACATCGATTTGGCGGAAGGTTACGACACAGGAAGTTTCCTTGTTGTATTCAGGAGATTTGTATCACTTCGTGGCAATCCAAAGCGAATGATTTCTGATGCAGGCACACAGCTAGTAGCTGCAGGCAAGGAATTGGATAAGTTTGAAGTAGAATGGAACGTCATCAAATCTGCGGACGCTCCATGGGAAAACGGCTGCAGTGAATCCTTAATCAAGTCTGTGAAGAGATGTCTGCTAATTGCTGTTGGAAATTTAATTTTGACGTTTTCAGAATTGCAAACTGTGTTGTTTGAAGCTGCAAATTTAATAAATGAGAGACCTATCGGGACCAAGGTGTGTGACCCAAACGAAGGAACATACTTATGCCCGAATGACTTGCTGTTAGGGAGATCCACTGTTCGGGTTCCTCAGTTGCAAATGGAAGAACATTGCAATCCACGATTGAGATGGAAATTCATTCAACAGCTGGTTGATACCTTTTGGAAAAGATGGATCAGAGATTACTTTCCCACTCTTATTGTGAGACAGAAGTGGCATACAAGCAGGAGAAATCTGAAGCAGGGTGATCTTGTGTTAGTTCAGGATACAAATCTAATTCGTGGAAAGTGGAAACTTGCTCAAGTTGCCGAGGCAGAGCCTGGAACAGACGGAAAGGTACGAGACGTCGCAGTGCGATACAAGAAAGTGGGACCAGGTGCAAAGTATCATGGGTGTACTGACACTGTCATTCGCAGATCTGTTCATAGACTTGTAGTTATACTACCAGTGGATGAATGTGATTAGTTGTAAACTTGTCAAGAAACGTCGGGGGGAGTGTATCGTTAACGATATTCCGGAACTTTTAGAGTCGGACATTATTTTTCATTGTTTACAGTCAACGGAAGTTTGTTTTGTTTACCTCGTGGATAGACAATCCTGTGTTTGTGACATTATAGCTCAGTAATATTAATTTTGGATCCATCAATGTGTGAGTAGACAATGTTTTTGTGACTTACGCGAAGTACGGACCAATTATTATATATAGAATTGTAATTATTGTGTTGTAAAACTATACAGTGGCATTCAGTATAACCCACGCTGCTCTGAAAATATCTACGGAACGACGTTATCATCATAATGTGATTATATTTTGTTTTATTATAATTTCAGGTTGAAACATTGGAATAAATTGTTACAACAGATGCTTTAATTTGTTATTGAGCTATACACTTATCATTTTGTCTAATATACATTTATAATTTAAAAGCATTTTCAACAGGTATCAACTTCTGTCTATAAAAACTGCAGCGTTATGATTTAATATTTTAGTTATTGGTGACGACTTCTTTTGCCAACTTAAGGTATATTTCAACATTGCACTATCAAATTCTTTTTATTCCCGTAAGATATATTCTTTCTTCAACCTGTATATTGTATCCGCCTCCCTAACCGTTTATAGGCTTCTCTTGTGACCACCCCCCCAAAAATAGTTTAATTAAATTTTAAAAAAAATTTAGTAAGGTTTAATAGACATTTATACTGGGTCAGATTGCTATAAGGATATACAGGTTGGTGTAAGTATATTTCTTAAATTTAAAAAGGACCGGTATTTTATTGACTAATGCAGGAAAGATAAGAAATATATTCCTGAATGTGCGCAGAAAGTTGCGCAGTAAACTGACCAACATTTGCACTAGGGTATCTGAATCAATTTTGTCTAAAAGACTCAAAAACAGGGTTTTCCATCATTTGAAATGTAACTGTGTTGCAGAGTGAACGCGAAGAGGTAAACTTTTGCGGTATTTTAGCGATCAAATTCGCAACTAAATCACTATTTGTGAAAACTACAAAAGAATACATGTGCACACTAATTAAAAATCGCTAATTAGTTACATGGTATGGTAGTACATATTGATAAAAGTAAAAACACGTTCTGAAAAGTAGAGGAAATTCTGACCGATATAGTCGTACTACTTCACATTTTTGAAAATAAATTTACCCTGATTATTTATCAGTTTTCTTGATCGAGTTATCAAATTACAAAAAAAGAAATTCCAGAACATATAAATATTTTAAGAGTTCCTCGAGCATGTTCAAAATTTTAAGCAATTTATTTACAACAATTAATTGACTTCGATACGATGTTATGTCTGATTTATAGTGCTAAAATAATTCGTGACTCTATAGAAAAGACAGATTTAAATATATTTTTTTTAAATGATACAATGTATCTTATTACAACTAACAATTCACCCTTACATGGAAGCGTGAAAACAAATTGAGATAATTGATTATGCAATGTAAAGCCCTGCTGTTTAAGTGCTTTGTATTTTATAATTGAAAGACGATATAATTTTTCAATAAAAATCTAAACTAGAGACAGTAATACCCGCACTATGGTGTTTGCCTCTAAATACACACTCCTTCATATTGGACTTTCCAAGGAAGAAGTCAAAATAATTCTATAATTATCACCGTACATGTATTCGTAAAATTGAACATAAAATTTTCAGGTGACTATATGATCTATGAGCCTCACATGTGTATTTTGAATACTTAATTCATTACCAGTCTGAAATAACAGAATTTAATAAATAATTGAAGTAAATTACTTAATTAGATTCAGATAAATATTTTGCCAATAATTTGGAACTTTTTAACTTTACTTTCTCAACGACATAAATATTATTTTATTACAAAGCGTTTTTGGTGAATTTATCAAAATGTGCAAACTGATTTTAGTACCTGGTCTGGAAAAAAACCATTGAAAATACAACCAGATTAATTTGTCAATGTCTATCTCTCTCTCTCTCCCCCCACCCCACACACTTTCTTACTCTCACATTTTTTTAAAAATAGACCTAGATGTCAAAGTTATTTTAATACATAGTTTATTATGATAGTTTGAAATTTGTTCTTGTACTAAACAGTTTTACGTATGAATATCTTATTTTCTACATTCACATTGGGTTTGCGTTACCCATTATCATATTTATAGATATCACCTCTCGGCACACCTCGGCCGATTCATACTGGCAACGGAATCAGCAAAGGTTTGTCGAATGAGATTATAAAGCACTTGTATGCTGACGATGCAGTGTGGTCAGTTAAAATCATTTGTGTTTTAATTGGATTATATGGATTATATTTCATGAATTCGTTGTCATGACCTATGACATTCGGTAAGTACAAGATTTAGTATAGATTGCATAAAAATAAATAAATGCAAATGGTAAGGTTGAAGTTCAAAAAGGGTCAAAGATCACCGCATGCCACAGTCGACAAATTTCACATTGTCAAGTTATCTCCCGTTGCGGACATTCAGTATATACAGACGCAGATCCAGATTTTTTTTTCTCAGAAAGGGGGGGGTGTCACACCTCAGTAAAAAAATTCAGCCCAAGATTTCATGAGAAGCAAATAAAAAATAATAATCAACATAATGATGGTGGAGTCCCTGTTTTCTAAGGGGGGAGGATGTCCAAAGTCATTTTTATTCTCTACAGTACATAGTATTATTTGAATAAGTGCTAATTCAAGGAGGGGGTGTCTGATCTCCCTAGCCACTGACTCCCTGTACCTGAAATAACAATTGATCTAATGACTCCATAATAGTACAAAAAAAAATATTTGACTATATATATACATTTTTTGTTTCCTATGTTTATGTATGTTTGTCTGACCACGGAAACTTTAACCTTGCCCATATTTTTTTTAAGTGGATTGGGCTATACACATGGCTTCAATATTTCATAGGTAAATTTTTTTGGCAAAACCTTTTAATGGGTACCACCAATGTTGACCTCTTGATCTCTTGACCTTGGAGTTTGACCCACTTTTACCAGAAATATACCTTTAACTTGGCCTAAGTTCTGAACAGGTTGTGCTTGGACTTTCATGCTCTATCATGTGTAATCATTGCGAACTTTCAAGAGGTATAATTATTTTTGACATAGACCTAAGAGTTGAACCCAATTAACTTTAACCTTGGCAATAACTTTTGAACAGGTGAGGAAGTTCTAGGGATTTCTCTATTTTTTCACATGTGCATTCCTTGTGACAAGACTTTCCCTTTGATACCAACAATTTTGACCCTTTGACCTTGACCTTGGAGTTTGACTTACATTTGAGAAACTTCAACCTTTGCCAAAAACTGACATAACAGTTGCTGTCACAACAAACAAACAAATTACTGAAAAAAACACAGTATACATGTAAATATTTTATATTCAATAGATATACATCTGGTCATATCTCTAGTTCTCCCTTGAATGAGACATGTTGATATAAATTTTAAAAAATAATTATGATAAGAGTTGAAAAGGTTGTGCATATTAAAATATACTAAGCTCTGAGGATGAATTAAATAAACCAGTTTAGCTTTATTTTTTTTTTACCCAAAGCTCCTTGATTAACTATTTATATGCATACTGTTTTCTGAAATGTACTTTATTTATTATAAAAGACATTTATTGTGTTCCATTTTTGCTAAAGGTAGGGTACATTAAATCTCATTTGTTTGTCAATCTGCCCATCTGTCACAATAAATTTAACCTTGGTCTTCATCGTTGCGTTGTATATTTTGAATGAGAAGAGACAGGACTTTTATATTAAACATGTGTATTAGTATTAAATGGGACAATACCATTCTAAATGCAGTATGATTTTCATTACCATGACCTTGAAGTTTGATCTAATTTCATAAACAAATTAATTGCTTAGAATTGATCATTTTGAAAGATAAATGAAAGGGCATTCATATTACCTGTGATAGGACCTTTCCAAATGTATCATGACTTTTTGACTCTGTGACTTTGACCTTGAAGTTTAATTTAGTTTTCATTAATGTTGTATTTCTTTTTCTTTGAGAAGAGATTTGACTTTCACATTTCAAGTTAACATTACCCATAACAAGATGCTCCCAACATGCTATGATTTTTTACCCCTTGACCTTGATGTTTTAACAAAATTTCAAAAGAGTGAACTCTCCCAAAAGAGGATAAGACCACTGTTTAACACAAAAAAGGAGTTTAGGGAAGACTGGGCTTTTTCCATAAAAACGTAATTTTTTCGACCCTCATTTGACCCCCCGAGCAAAATCAAAATTCCGAAACCTGACTGCACATCTACATGACCCCAACAACCATCTCCCAAAAGATGATTAGGCTGCTGAATAAAATGTAAGAGGAGTTCAGGGAAGATGGGGCTTTTAGCATACAAAACATCATTTTTGACCCCGATTTGACCCCCCGAGGAAAAATCAAAATTCAGAAACCTTACTACACATCTGCATGACCCCACCGACCATCTCCCAAAAGATGATTAGGCTGCTGAGTAAAATGTAAGAAGAGTTCAGGGAAGAAGGGTCTTTTTGCATAAAAAGTTATTTTTCGACACCCATTTGACCCCCCAGGGCAAAAACAAAATTCCGAAAGCTTACTGCACATTTACATGACACCACCAACCATCTCCCAAAAGATGATTAAGCTACTGTGTAAAATGTAGGAGGAGTTCAGGGAAGAAAAATGTGACAGACGGACGGACATCAGTAACAACAATATACCCGAACTTTCTTTAGAAAGTGCGGGTATAATTATAGAAAAAATTGTGTGTTGAGATTTTCAAATGATCACAGATCTTTCTGTGTCGGCAAGATTTTTACTTTGTTGCATGCATAAAATTTGAATCGTTACAGTGTCGGAGAAAATTTTCCTTTGTGGGGAACAACACAGTCGAGCAGCTCATGGATCACCCTGAAATTTACATCAATATAACGTTAAGGTTTCTAAAGCTAGCTTTCAATCTTCAAACTGCTTAAGGACAGATGATAAAGACAAATCTTTTCTTTGGAAGTGACTTGATAACATGTCACAAGTTTAGAAAAGTGGATAATCCTTATAATTTTTTATTCTTAGAACTGGACAATGATAAAAGACTTATTAGAAATATTAGTAATATTTCATTTAAAAAACAAAAATAGACAAATCACATTAAGAAAAGGTTTACAGATAAAAAAAAATTCAGAATGTTATCTTGGTGCTTAAAGTATAATATAAACCTGAGAAAAATAAACCAATCCAGGTGATTTTTAGGAAGAAAAACAAGATGACAAAATTTCATCAATATCATATAAGCAATTTTTTTTTGCTTTTCCTGATAAAATTCACCTGGCTTGGCATACATGTACTTTTCTAATCAAAACATATTCTAAAATTCATTTTTATCTGTAAACCTTCACTTAGTGTGTAATATCCATATTTGTAATTTTATTTATATGTTACTAATATTTTCCAATTCTATTTAATTTTGCATTTTTTTGGGGGGGGGGGATTCTAAGAATTATCCACTTTTCTAAACAAGAGACATTATATTAATTCTCCTTAAAGAAAAAAAGAAAAGAAAAAATTGTATCATCTGTTTTTAAAGTGAGCACGGACTTTAATTTTCGTTTATGGAGTTGATCTGTCAAGACCTTAAATGTTAAAAAAATCAAAATAAATCATAATTTATTTTGTTCTCCAATTCATTGATATGGCGATGAAATGCAGCATTTTCCACTCACAAACAAAAGACATGGTCGAGTGAGAAATATTTTTATATAAAAATAAATCTACGTAATCAAACTACACATTTGTATGGAGATGATTGGTTGATGGAGTTATACATTATGATAGACTACTAGAATTAAATACTACTTCTCTCCAGTTATCTGACCTTGCGCAGGGATCAGTTTAAAAAACGACTTGTATAAAAAAAAATTCTTTGTTATCTACATACTTTATAATATCATATGATTACGAACAAAAAGACAATGTATAATATAGATATAAAATTTTATTATGTTAAATGATTAAATGTGATTTTTGCATTTTTAGGACGTAAGGTTACATGTATAAACATTATTTTTAGAACATAATACATATTTGTAGTTTTCATTAAATACATTGCACATTATATCATATCTAAAAATGTGTTACTTTGTAATAAATCATCCATCCATCATTATCTCAAGAATAAAGTCATAATCAATTATAATAAATGTAATTAAGATATGTGAACAACTATAGAACAATTATGGATATAAGATATAAAATGTCAGTTATATTTAATCATCATGAGGGTCTCTTTTATCTGTTTACTATCAGTCAATGTTGGATACCATGGGTCGGACCAGGACCCCGGGGACCATTGACCGTTAAGGAAGGCTCGGTGACAGGCGTTGAACCACCAGCCTCCTCTGAATCTGTATTCAACAGCACAGTGAATTTTATCCCTGTCGTTATCTCTGTCCGGGGTGGTGAAGTACATCCCAGACAGATCACCATAAGAAGAACCAGTGTGTAACATAGAGTCACCTGTAAAATTAAAAAAGAAAAATATACACGGACACTTGTTTAAAATAGATCAGTAGAGTTATATCCACTATACTCGTCGTGATCTCTGTCTGGGTGGAGAAGAACATCCCAGACAGATCGTGGTAAAATAAAACCTGTATCTAACATAGCGTCACCTGTAAAATTATCGAAGAAAAATATAACATGAACACCTATTTCAGATTAAATCATTATTATTTACTAAACATTTAAAGCTTAAAGTATCTATAGTATTCAACAATGAAATTTTTTTTGAATTACTTTAAATTGCGTTGCTTTCAATTGCAATAGATGTACACTGTTTTCATTTAATATTTAACGTTGATTTTCTGTTGTCAGTTTGATTTCGTTTTTGACTGTATACGAACATGTTGATGAGTCTCAACAGAAATAAAAGATTGATTGATCGAATGTATGTTGTTTAGCGTCCGTCTCGAGAAATTTTCACTCATATGTTGACGCCATCACTTGCCGGTTGAGAACTAGAAAATTTATTTTAAAATACATGGTATACACGGCAATTGTACAGTTTGCTATGTTTTTCGTGCCAGCATTTACTACGACATTGTACCTTGATTGAAACGATCTCATCCGAAGGACCAGTCTGTACGCCCTACAGTGGGATTGGAACCCGCAACGTAAAGATTCCTTACTTCGCGGCTCTAACCACCGCGCCACGCGGGTGACGTCAATAAATTTAATCATTATTTCAATCATGTGAAGCCTTTTTTAATATTGAAATGGGTAAGCCTATATACGTACATATAAAGAAGGGATATTCAAAATAATAATTTCATGAACCAATAAATTGATATAACATAAGAAAATACTTTTTTTATTTCTTTTTTGGGGGTGGGGCGGGGTGGTGTACCTCTTTAAGTCAACAGTACATGAAACAATATATTTTCTTCCATTTTATCAACACATTAATCATTAGAATTCTAACTAATTTTTACGACTACACGTAGATGCAATTTGTTTAATTATTTTCTTTCTTCATTGTTGTATTGCTTTTGTTAAGTCTACTATGTGTATCTTCAACACAAAAGCGGGTTAATTACAAAAAGTCCTCGTTATCGACTGTAATAATTACATTTCCAATGTAAGTTGTTTTTTTTAATTCAATTATCGCTTAACACCTTAATTGATTTATCTGTATGAGTTACCGTATATAATCGCCTATAAGTCGGTTGTATTTTTTAAGGTTATTTGGCAGGAATTTTCCACTGACCCGCTTATAAGTCGGTACAATTTTTTGCCAGAATCAGATGGCAATTTCTTATAAATGCTACATATATGATGTTTTATTCTAATCTTTAATTATTCTTTTAAGAAATGAAGTCTATATTTAACTTTAAATCATGAAAAATAAATACTGTCCTATTAAAATTTAAAAAGATAGATTTTATGTTTAATCTTATAACACATAAATGATATAATATATCCATACTTTGTTCAACGATAGCTGTTAAAAATGTTTACAGAACACTATGATTTACCGTCCAGAAAAATACAAGTCTTTTTATGACTCGCCTATAAGTCGGACATAGACTTTTGAACAAACATTTAACTCCCAAAATACCGACTTATAGGCGAGTATATACGGTATGTATCTGACAACATTACGTACAAGTATGCATGTAGTGTTTATGACGTGGAAATGTTCAATCTTTTAGCAATTTATTACTGATTGGTTAATATAGTATGGACTCTCGATTTTCAATATACAAGGAAAATTTTACTTTCAAAATATTGATATCCACACATCCCCCTCCATTAATTACGTAACTATAGGGTAGATTCTCACAGAAAGAATTGGTATTTGTCTGTCTGTCACAAGAAATTAAAATCTTTCTCCCTCGCTCTCCTTAATATAGGTCGTCATTTGTACATTCTTTTTTCCGTTTACCTACCCAGGGTCCCGGTAGCTGGTCCTCCAAGGAAAAGTCGGTATTTGTTGGTTTCATCAGCAACAGAGAACTGATTGTATAATTCATAGAGATTTGTCCCATTAGTCAGTGTAATGGAGACGTAGAGGGAGGAGTTCCTTCCCCTGGTAAGTTGTTGTATGACGTCATTTCCTTTAATATTTTATCGTCGTGTAATATTTAAAGAATTGATAAAGCAAAAAATATTTATTTCAAGTTGTCATATAACTCAACATATGATTATGAAGGTATGCAGAAATTTCTAATTGTGTAGTGCATGCAGCAATGAACATACATGTTTTGAAATCAAAGTAGGGAATTCGTTATACATTGTTTTTTACATGACTTATTATAAACTACATTTTAATAATTAACTGCTAAAAAATTAAAGGCGAATTTAAACTTGAATCAGAAAAATTATCATCCCCTAAAAAAACATAAAATATTACACAGTTATAGAATGGGTACAGTGTAAATAGCAAATTTATGGTTCCCCGAGGGAGGGGAATATTTCTTCACCTCGACCCCTGACCCTTTGGTCAGCTGTAAATTTGCTATGTTCTCTGTAGTCATTCCATAACTGTTTATAGTTTACCTATCCAGTAGGATCCCTTAGAATTCCCGAATCCCCTCTTGTAGTCTGTCCAGGTTCTGTCGAATGACACCGAACCACTCACACGTTTCTGGATAGCCTAAGAATTTATGAATTATGTCGGGTTTATTAAAGAAAATAGGGAAATGGGTTTTTTTCTACGTTTCAATGTGAACAATGTTTCAAATAGGTTATTCATTAAAACAATCATTCCAATCCTATTTAAGTTTTTTTTTTAATATAAACAATTTTTACGTAATAATTCTTTTTTTAAAAAAAGCTTCGTGCAAAAATTTTCTTATTAAAAAAATATTATTTTAAATTTATGATATTGCAAAAATTTTATTCTACTTTGTAAATAAATAATATTTACTGTCAGAATTTTATTGTCTTCATGTAAATTAGATTAGAAAAGAATTATTTAATGTTCATTCATCGATATTTTTTGTTGATTTCAGGAAAGAGATTTAATATCAGTTTTAAAATCAAGGATTTATTAATCATTAAAGAAATATTGGCTTTAATTGATCGTTGGGCATTAGACAGAAAGAGAAAAGGGAGATGGGGAGAGAGGATGAAAAAGATGGGGAGAGATAGAGGCAGAGAGGGGGGAGTGAGAGAAAGATAAAGAAAAAAAGAAACAGAGACAAATTAAGCTAGAGAGAAAGGGGGAACGGAGGGAGGGGGAGAGAGAAAGAGGGAGAGAGAAATCTTACTACACATACAAGAAAAAGAAGCTAAAATTGATCATTGAGAAAGAGAGAGAGAAGGAGAAAGAGAGAAAGGGAGATAGGGGTCTTACTGTCCACCCTTTACCTTCTGTCACCATGTCACAGAGAAATGAGCAGAGAAACTGATAAAGAGAGAGAATAATACAGAGAGAAATAAAGAGAGAGAGAGAGAAGAGGATGGTTAGAAGGATAAAGAGATCTTATTGTCCACCCTCCACCTTCTGTCATCATGTCACAGAAGACGCTGACCTTGCTGTTATTACCAAATGGATATATCTCATAAACACCCGATTCTGTATTACCATGAATATAGAGGTCCTTACAATCTTTATATAACTCTGAAAGAAAAAAAAATAAATACATGATTTGATAATAATCGTAATATAAAATGTACTATGAAAGAGGGAGAGAGAGATAGAGTGTTACCTGACTTGATGGTTTGCAGTATACTATTCTTCAAACTTCCGTGGATGTTGGTTACATTTTTCATCAAGATGTTAAACATCTCGTAAAATTCTTCGCGAATTTTCTTTTGATTAACGTTAATTCTCGCATTCTCTCGTTTTAAGGACTCAATTTGGTTTGCGTTTGATTCAATTTGTCTCGCGTTCTCCTGTTTTAGGTACTCAATCTTTTCGTTCAATATTTCAATTGTCTGATCATTACGCTCGCAGTCATGTTTTTTGTTGAAATAAATTTGCTGAGAACTAGCCACACAAAAGAGCAAGACGTACACGAAGATAGCCAACAAAACTCCTGCCATGGTTTTACTTGCACGCTGTCTGAAAATAAACTTCCCTAAAATAATCCGTAGTTTATATACCCTTAAAACGGGAAGTTAAAAATTTCCCTAAATATTTCGCTACCGCAACACTTAGACGCTCAGCAGCGATTTTCATTTGACAGTCAAGAAAAAATTAAATATTCAGGATGCTTGGGTCATAGTTCAAATTCAGAGTAATGCTGGTACATGTAATGGGTGACATTTAAAAAACCTTTTTTTTGTAGATACCAATTTTAAAAACTAAAAATGGATATATTGTTTTTAAATACTATATTTTAATTGATAAATATATACCGGTAAAAATAAATCAATACTTATTGACCTTTTGTGTTTCTTTACATTCACTTCATTAATGTGTTGAGGGTACAGTTACCTGACAATTACCACACAATTACCCCACAATTAACACACAATTACCACGCAATCACCACACAATTACCACACATGTATAATTTTTAAAACTTATTTAAGATTATTTATAGTTCTAAAAAAGGTTTTAAAGTTTTTTTTTCAATTTTCAAAGAATTCGAATATGAGGTAAACAATTATTCAAAAGGTGCCAATGCCACAGTTTTATAGAATGACTTCAAAATATAAAGTTCCTCTATAACAAAATATAAAGTTCCTCTATAACGTAATATAAGGTTCCTCTAAAACGTAATATAAAGTTCCTCTATAACGTAATATAAAGTTCCTCTATAACGTAATATAAAGTTCCTCTGTAACGTAATATAAAGTTCCTCTATAACGTAATATAAAGTTCCTCTATAACGAATGAAATGGATGAAGATAAAGAACATTATTCTAGCTTAAAAGTCCGTTAAACATTATAAAAAAGTAGCAGAGCATACAGGCCTCCAAAGCATTAGAGTGGGATCAGGTGCCCTGGAGGAGTGAGCATCCCCTGATGACCGGTCACACCCGCAGCGTATTCCTTGACAATCGACAATCTTTTTCAGAAGTATCTTATCTGTTCAGCCACAAAACTTGTCTCTTTTCCCTTAATATTTTTTTTTAAACTACAATTTAAATGGAGATGATCTTACTAGAACTGACCATGACAAAACCATTGTTTTAAAAATATTTAAAGACAGGCAGATTTTCTACTTGTAGCAGAGGAAAATGCACATATTGTTTAGTATACCCCCATCTTTTTTAGGAACAATTTTATCTTTTTTGAGCTTAAATTAATTTTCATTAGATATTGTATCCGATAAATTAGTCTAATTAATTTTTATAGTTTTTGAAGTTGTAAATTCTCCAAATTAATTTGAATTGCTTTATGACATCAAAATATGCATAAATTTGTCTATTATGCATGTTTTACTTTTTGGCAATTGAAATTCTGATTTTTTTTTTTTTGGTTTAATAAATACATGTACTTGCATGACATTTGAATTGGCATTCGTCATGTTTAGTTTTGAAAGGGTTGGGTGCATGCTGATATAAATATTTTCCAAGAACGTCTTTTTATTCTCATTAAAAAAAAGCATATTCTTTGCTTTTGGCAGAACATATTATATGTTTGTGCTGTGTTTGATTACACTAGCGAAGTTTTGATTGAAATAAAAGTATAATAATGCAGAGGTAACTGTATTTCTCATTTTAAAAAATAGAAAGTGGAGAAAAGAAACATTTAAAAAATGTTTTTTTTTTAATATTGAATATTAAAGTTTATGCATTTAGTCATTGAAAAAAATTCTTTCTTGAATTTCTTATTGTTTCTTACGTAATGATTGTTCTTCAGTTTGTAATTATGATAAATAAGAAGCATTAAGTAAATAAATATTTAATTAAAATTGCTTTAAGGAATAAGGAAGAAATTCCAAAACGGAAAAAACAACTTCATAAATAGAAAAAAAAACTACATTTTAAAGGACTGGTTACTTCAAAACAGGGGTTAAAGATGTACAGGGAAAAACTAAAGATAAATGTTAAAAATTATAGATATATATAAAAACGGAAGAAAAAAATGCAAAAATAGAAGAAAAAAAATCAGCAATCTCTTCATTTTCATCAGTCAGTCACATCGTAGAAAAGCACCAAGATAGATAAAAATTAAAACAGTGTGTTGTAAACTGAGATAAAAGAAAAATGAGGTCACATTCTACAAGAAAAACCGGATGAAAGAAAATGTAAACAGTCATTGTGAACTCAGAGGAAAAAAAAATGTCACAGTCACTGGGATTGACTTATTTTGAGCCACTAGTGTTGATTATTACTAAATTAAACACAATTTTTTTTTGAATTTATAGAACTGTTGATAATTATCAAGTTAAATTTAACTTTATTAAATTCGTAGAAACATTTAACGTGACTTTTATTAAATTCATAGCGCCGTTATGCATATCTCTTCTTTTAAATTTGAATCATTCTTTTTACTGTAGATCACCAATTTTTCGCGACACCTTATTTTCGCGAGATGGTCATTGTCTCTTGAATAGCGAGACAAAATTTTCACGAATCGTGGTTACTGCTCTATATAATCTTAAGGAGTACTATTATACGCGAGAATTTAATTTTCGCGAGCACACTGTCTCGCGTAATTACGCGAAAATAAAGTTCTCGCGAATAAAAAGTGATTTACAGTATCTAATTAGCTTGCATTTTTAAATCAGCATGAATTTACCCATAATTTTGATATTTCAATTTAAAAGATTACTATGTCCTTGAAAAAAAAATTCCCCTCTCCAAATCACGTCTATTTCTAACTCAGGATGAAAATCCACCATTCAGTCGACTGAATGGTGGCTGAATGGCCACTAAATGATCACTGAAAAGCCCTTTTCCCGTGACTTTTCTGTGATCATTCAGTTACACTTCAGTCGACTGAATGGCACATACATTTCAGTGACCTTTCCGTGATCATTCAGTTGAATCTTTTTATCGAATAATCGGCTTATTTTTTTACCTAAAAATTTTATTTCACTTTTTCCTGGTATAATAGCAATAAATGATCTAATTCCGAATTTAAAAAAATAGGGAAAAAATAATACAAGAAAAAAAAATTGCTCCCATGCCCAGAATCGAACTGTGGTCTTCTGCTTAGGTGTCCGCGACCTTATCAATTCCGCTAACGACTTCTTATTGTCATATTTAAGTGCATGTTAATTATTTTGATAAAATATAGGCAAAATAAAGATCTTATTATGCTTGATTGTGAAGAGGTATTGCCCTACGGCTCATGGTAAAAAAAACCAAGGCTTTATTAAAGAATACACAAGTTTGAATTCAAAATGAAAGTTTTAAATACATAAGATTTGGATTGAAATTATACTTATTCAATTCCACAATCAATTTTATAGTCTTTGTAAAATAATTAAGGCATTTGCTCAATTTTTGGCAGTTTCTCCGGCTGGGACAGTGGTAAACACAACACACGAAAAAAATTAGAGTGGTAAACACAACACACGAAAAATGGCGACGTTTTGTGACGTTAAGGCACGTAGGAGATAGAGCAGTTCAGTTTTATTTCGATGTTGTAATGACATATTTAGAGACTTTAAATGACAATTAAAGAAAAAAGATGATAAAAACATCACCATATCTTAAGTATACAAATGAAATAGTTTTTTTGCATTTTTTTCTTTTGATCGAGTCCCAGGGGAGTACAAAACGTACGGACATACTCCTTATGATGTAGCAAAAGACACTGTTATAGTAGACCACCGATATGAGATTTTCTATTAGTTGATTGATGGTGAGAATATTGCCCGTAACTTACTAATAAATCTTCAGAAGATTGCATGAGGGTGTCGATTGGTTCTTTGAATGTTTATGGAGTCTAAAGAATGTGTATCAAAGAATTCCTAAATTCAAGTCGGACTCATTTTCAGCAAAGATAAAACTTGACGCTGTTTTAGACACTTTGACGTTATAATCGATGCGCCGTAAGGTCATACAATGCATGGCAGAAAATCTCATAATTTGTTTATTTTTGCGTATATTTATCTGAAATTTGCTGTGTATAAATACTAAAATATGTAATAAATAATAATGAAAATTTCAGAACGCAGTGATGTTTATTTTTTACACTAGACAACTTGTCCAATATTTTACGGGACAACCCTCTTATACTACAGGAAGCACTACACCATGACGTCACCACGTGACGTGAATCATTAGAAAACATCCCTTAATGGAAAAGTGAAAAGTTTTACACTACCCCGATGTAATAAATTTCAATTTGTAATTAAAGTTATATAATTTAATTTTACTTGTAACACGTCATTTGATTGGATAAAATATTTAATCCATTTTGTATAACATAAGTTGCCTTCGTCACAATGAGTTACGTCAAAAAGCGTTTTACCCCGCTTGACGTTAGTATTAAAATTTAGTCAATGTGAAGCCTTATTCTCAGTGTAAATTTAAATTAAGCTTTATTCTATGAACAAAACCTCTTTTCTCTTGAGTTGCTTGAGTATGAATTAATTTATTTTTTTGTAATTTAATCCATTCCTTCTGTAGATTTTTGCACACGCTTTTATCAAATATTTACGTAAAGAAATCATTTGTAGAATTTAATAAATTCTGAATCATAGGTCCCATCTCACAAAGTATTCGGGAACAATTACAACACCAACCCAGTGGTTCAATTGGTGGACTTATTTAGTGTCAAAAGAAATACCTTCTTAATTTGTCTCGCATCCCAAGTTTCGTCTAATAAATCGAAAGACTCGAACATATTAAAACGAGGAAAAATATTCTTATATGCAAAATATATTAGTATGGAATTAAAAAGAATTATTATCTTATCATTCATTGTCATACTATCAAAACTTTACGTGGTATCAGAGCAGAAAACGTCAAAAACGCAATATGCGTTAAAGTGCGTGATTGTGGGTAAAGTTATATGCGTTGAAATGCGTGACTGTGGGGAAGGGGGTTAAGTCCTGTCACCACGCCTTCCTTAACGGTCCGTGGTTCCAAAAGTCCTGGACCTACCCATGGTTTCCTAAAATAAAGAGTGGGGCATCCCACAAGGGGACTACCATGATGATCAGACGTCACTAGGTGAAGACCATTCAACCTTA